TATGATTGAAGCGCCGAACAAGGGAATGCTCGGTAGCTTCCATCACTTGCTGAGCGTATACTTCGTAGATGTGTTCCTTGTCCTGTACTCGCGGGGGACGAACGAAATCAAGTCTTGATCTAACGTCTTGTGGGTACCGGTAAGTAAGCGGGAGGTGTGACAGATTTTCTGGTCACGACATCACTCACCACTCATTCTGAAAAACCATGATCGGACTCAAGGGAACTTTGAACGTCCGTCCCTCAGGTTCATTCCAAGCTTTTCCATGTCTAACCTGCTTCTCTAGATAATAGACAACTCCGGCGCCCTTGTTGCCGAGTGCGTGAACGTATTGAAGCAAAAGGTCAATAACGGCTGGGGCTCGGTGGGCGACGAAATCGTCGTCGTCGTACAACGCGCTCGCCCCGTGACCGCTGCCGCGTCGGCGTCCGTTACCGCCGTCAAGGTCCGACGTGGGGATGTCCGGCGCGCAGTCATTGTCCGGACGCGGAAAGCCGTGCGGAGACCTGACGGAAGGATGGTGCGCTTCGACGACAATGCGGCGGTGCTACTGAACAACAAGCGGGAAATGCTGGGGACGCGGATAGGTGGGGTTGTCAGTGCGGACTTGAGGATGAAGGGCTGGGGCAAAATTGCGAGTTTGGCGCCCAAGGTGTGTCTCTGCTCGTTCGTGTGATTCCGCTGAGCTGAGGCTACGTATAAGGTCGTGTAGTTCTTTGTTCCTATCGCTATCATATCCTTTGGTGCACTTGCTCCCGCTCGAGACATGTGGAAACTCTCACTGCACCTTCCTATCAATGTGCCCGTGCATTGCATGACTGGCCGTGCCCCACATTCTGCCCATACCCATCGTCAAGCCGGATCACGCGCCCCGACCGAGTCAACATTGTGCACACGAAGCTTTACCTGTGCCGAACCATTGGCCCGGTCGAAGAAACAGCGTTCCGTCTCGTGGAGAGTGTGTTACCGCCACACCCGGGATCTCATAGTCGCAGTTGAAGAAGTCGACCTGTGGACTTGCCAGACCGAGTTTCAGTATAAGCTCTTCGAAGCCTGAGATATGCGCCAAGGCATCCGCAAAGGAGACGCGCTGGCTACGCAAATGGGGATGGCTGTAACCGGAGAACAAGGTTGCCGATTTTGAAGACTGCACAGCGTGGATCCTAAGGGCGGAAGGATCAACAGTGCACATGCATCAAACTGCCATCGTGCGGCTCTGTATGCCGGTTGGGTGCATGTGCGCACCATATTACTGATCGGCACATCAATGAGGATCGGAGTCGGAAGTGTCGTGCATGAAGGACAGCAATAAGATGGCGGACAGTCGGAGGTCGACACCAGCGATGGTTGATGACCGCGACACAGAGACGATACTTGGAATGCCTTCTACAGCCAGAACGAGCTAGAAGGCCGTGTGCGTGTCAAAGTGTGGACAGCGCCGAAGAGATTTGAGGAAGGTCTGGATCCACATGAACGACCACGCTCAACGATTCATGGGTGTGGTAACTTGTCAATGCGATGGGCTCAGATCTATTCCATTTTCGGCACAAAAATACGTCGCATCAGGATGATGTGTTCCCATCAAGTCGCCGCCGTGGGGATTGATCCCCACGCGTGCCCTTATTACGACATACAAGTGTGACGCTTTCCACCAACGACACTCGCCCCATGTCGAAATTCACCACGAAAACCAATCGCCCGGGCTACTACGGCAAAGGCACAGTCGAGGTCTCCCCAGCCGCAGCGGACAACGAGGGTCCCGTGCGCCGCCTTGCTATTGCGTCAGACAAACTCGTGTCTCAACCTTTGGACGGAATCAACACCGTATACGACATCCTCGAGTACGTGGCCAAGACGCACGGCAACCGCAACGCACTCGCATACCGAGACATTGTCGACATCGTCGAAGAGGCCAAGGAGGTGACCAAAGTCATCGACGGGAAGGAGACGAAGGAGACGAAGAAATGGAAGTATTTCCAGCTCAGCGACTACAAGTGGATCTCGTACGTCGAGCTCAAGGACCGGGTGTCGGAGATTGCGAGAGGTCTCACTGATTTGGGCATCACCACGGACGATGTGTTCAACATTTTCGCTGCTACGAGGTGCGTGCCACTCCTTTTCTCCGTCTCCTCATCTTTGCTGCGTGCACGAGGAAAGGGAGAAACTATGTCTGAGGCTGGGGTGACGCCTCTCTCTGAACTCGAGGCGCTCTCCCGATACGCGTTTTCCGCACTGCCTCCCCAGCCTCGTGCAGCTTGGCTGCAGCCCTCTTAGCCACCTACGTCATTCACATGGTCACTTCCCGGACGCTTACCTCTCGTTTGCAGTCTCAACTGGCAGCTCATGGCACATGCATGTGGCTCTATATCCACGACCATTGCAACTGCTTACGACACGCTGGGTCCGGCTGGTCTGACGCACTCCCTGAACGAGCCGCACTGTGCGGGTTTGTTCACCAACGCCGAATTGCTGTCGACACTCATCAGCGTCATCCCCAACACCCCCTCCGTGCGATATATTATCTTCGACGGCGAACCGAGCGCCAAGCACAAAGCTGCCGTGGCCGAAGCCCGGCCGGATATCGTGCTCCTTTCCATCGACGAGGTCAGGAAACGAGGAGCCGCTCTCTCTGTGTCGATCCTCGAGTCGCGGCGTCCGTCACCGACTACCGTCAGCTGCATCATGTACACGAGCGGATCGACAGGCGCGCCGAAGGGGGTGGTAATCACTCACGGGAACCTAGTCGCCTCTGTCGGTGGAGTGCGCACGCTGCTGGGACAACATCTGACGCAAGACGACGCATTCCTGGCGTATCTCCCGCTGGCGCACATCCTCGAGTACATCGTTGAGTTGTGCATGCTGTTCGTCGGGATGCCCAGCGGATTCGGACGCGTCAAGACATTGACCGACGCGAGTGTGCGTAACTGCGTGGGCGACATGCGTGCATTCAAGCCCACGATCATGATTGGGGTCCCGGCTGTTTGGGAAACTATCAGGAAGGGTATTATGGCCAAGGTCGCGGAGGGCGGAGCACTGAAAAGTAGCGTGTTCCGTGGGGCCGTAGAAGCCAAACGTCGTGGATTGCCGGGTATCTCTCAGATTGCGGACAGTGTTGTGTTGAGCAGCGTGCGGGCTGCTACCGGCGGCCGACTCCGGATTGCGATGAGTGGTGGCGCTGCGATCAGCAGGGAGACGCAGGAGTTCCTGAGTGTGGCTCTGGTCGTGCTGTTGCAAGGTGCGTACGAGAATTATTCTGCTTCCCCAACTCTGATCGCCTGAACAGGTTACGGGATGACCGAGTCTTGTGGGATGTGTGCTGTCATGCCCCCTGAGATCTTCCAGTTCAACACAGTCGGACTGATTGTCCCTAGCAACGAAGTCAAGGTGAGCTTCAATCCCTTTCTCTCTTCCCGAGCGGATCAGCCTCTAACTCAGCCGCAGCTTCGGGATGTCCCGGAAGCAGGATACTTCAGTTGCGGGCGCAATGGAACCAAGGTCGAACAGGGAGAAGTGCGTAGCTTGTGGTGAACGTATGTTTGTTGACTAACGCATGCCAGGTCTGCATCCGTGGAAATTCGGTCATTTCCGGTTATTACAAACGACCGGACCTCAACGAGGACCCTACCATCTTCCCTGGTGATGGCTGGCTGCGAACAGGCGATGTTGGACAGTGGAATGAGGATGGAACGCTGACGCTGATCGACCGGTGCGTGACGAAACTCGTCTCCTCGGTGTTCTGGGAACCTGAGATGGCTCTGCAGTATCAAGAACCTGGTCAAGCTTGCAGGTGGAGAAGTGAGTTTCCCTCGTGGTCTCTCCTTCGCCCACTGATCCGTCGTCCATAGTACATCGCACTCGAGCAGCTCGAGTCGACATTCAAAGGCTGCAACCTCGTGTCGAACATCTGTGTGCATGCCACCCCCGACGCCAAGGCACCGATCGCAATCATCATCCCGCACGAAGCTCACCTCCGCAATGCCCTCAAGTCGGACAAGCCGCTGGCCGATCTGTGCAAAGACCCCAGTGCCGTCGCTCTCGTTCTCAAGGAATGCAATGCTGTCGGGAAGAAGAATGGATTCAAGCCAACGGAGACACTGTCTGCGGTGATCTTGACGCCGGATGAGTGGACACCCGAAAGTGGGCTGGTGACTGCCGCCCAAAAGATCCAGCGAGTGTCGATTACCAAGAAGTTCGATGCCGAAATCAAGGTCGGTCATCCCTGCGTTTCGTATCTTGCCTCTAAATGTTCTTTACAGGAGGCTTACAGGAATCAGTGAGTGTGGGAGTAGATAGTGTGATCTTGACTGCTTTTGTACAATACCAACCTCTACTTACCTTGCTGTTGATCTTGTTCTGACTTGTGATGAGTGAGAAACTCATATGGCATTCACAAACGACGAAAGCACTGTTCACTTCTACCACTGATTAGCTCCTATGAGGAGTTAGCCAAGCCTGAGACACAACTCTTATGTATGTGATGTGCTACTCAATGCTGTCCCGACTCTTCATCACCTTCAAATGGCTTTGGCATCATCTGGGCCCATCAGCAGGCCTGATTGAGATATGTTGATGGGTTAAATTATAAATATCTTGATAATTAGCAAACATGCAACAAGCGGGAATTGAACCAAAAACATGTTTCAAACCATGTTTCACAGCACTTGGGCACTTCCTGGTCAAAGCCACTAAGCCATGCTGACCAGCGGGATCAAATAGAAAATATCTCATGATCTCAATCGGAGAAGATGCATGAACAGTTCAACCTTGAACTCTTCAGGTCACAGGTTGCAAGCTCTGAGCAGTTGGTCAAAATTGGACAGTAGCCTTATGACTCATTCTTGTAGATATGACTTGGACCTGGGCTGGGTATATATACAGTAGAGTTGTTAATAAGGAATAAAGTTGGGAAGGGTCCCGGCATATTCCTTACCACGGGTATTCCGTATCACATATTCCATTAAAAAATGTATAAAATGGTCATTTTGGTGTATCTGCGGCTTCTACTTGAAGTACTGACTGAGTTCCATCTGTTTCTTGCCCTGTTCAATCTCCTTGGTGAGCCCAATGTGCATTTTACGAAGTTGAGGGCCAAGGGTCAGCGTCGAGTCGAGATCAGGTCGGTGTTGAGTGATCTGCTCCAGGAGCTTTATTGCCGCGATGGCTTCCTTCTTATCAGACGAGAATTCGGGCTCCTCCTCCTCCTCGATCTCGGCCTCGAGCTCCTCCTGATCAACCCTGCACATGTGTTGAATGATCTCATTTGTGTTGTCTCTATCCGCAAAGCCGAGAACACTGGATCCCGGCTCTTGTCGTTCAATGAGTGGATACAGAATGTCGTCGAGCAAAGGCAAGATTCCGCGGATGCAGCGCTCTGTGGCAAGTGTTTGAATGGTGTCAGACAGCGCATCCTCGGCCGCGCGGAGATGGCGATCGCAAGCAAATCGGCGCAGAGGACCCTTGGCAGCAGCTTCAGTCTGAGCGGCCATGAGATCCCAAACGGCGAGCTCAGTCTTGATTGAATTGCCTTCGCAGGCCATGACAGCGTCAAGAGGCACATTCCAGTCCTTGGGATAGTAATCTGTGCCAAGAACGCGTTCAAGCCCCTGTTCTGCTTGCGGTAACAACATTTTGGTCATTGCAAATTCCAAGATCACATCCCAGGCATCACTGTTGGCCTTCACTGATGCCGGCTTCTCTGGCAACGCTGCTGGCTTGTCCATTTTAGGTTCCTCAGACTCAGAGTTGGAACTGTCAGGCGCGTTGGGATCAACAAAGATTTCTTCCCATTCGTCTGTTTCCTTGGGTGTGATTTTGGTGTGAGTCCAGCAATTGGCAATGGTCAAAGGCATGACATGATTCCATGCATTCTCTAGCATTTGCATACCACTGAGAATATCAATCTTGAAAGGCTGAGGATCATTGGGCTGATAGAGATCAAGTGCTCGGATGGCCAATGTGCAGCGATAATGAGCTTTAAGACATTGAATAATTCCAGCATCACATGGTTGCACAAACAACGTCATGTTGGGCTCCAGGAACTTGACGCGGATGTGGCTCGGCTTGTAAGTCATCGCAACATGTCCCAGACAATTGTTGATCAAGAGCAGAATGTGTCACTTCTGGCACTGCATCCGATCATTGAGCTTTCGCATCCATTTGGTCCACAGCTCTGCTGTCATCCAGGCCTTAGCATTGTTGCGGTAATAAAGTGGTGGGTCCATGTTTGCTGGATTGACTCCTTGGAATATGCGAGGCTTCTGCGATTTCCCAATGAACATGAGATCAAGCTTCTCTGTTCCAATCAAGTTGCATGCCACAAGAGCAGAAATGCAAAACTTGTCCCGTTTGGTTCCGCTCATGTGTGTGGTGCACAGTGTGCAATCTGGGGGCAAAGATGGGAAGAAACTGGTCTCATCCGCATTCCAGATGTTCTCAGGGGTGTAACGGGAGGTGAGTCAAACCAAGCGCTTGCGTTCAACTTCAACAGCTGCCAGATCGACAGAGCTGGCCTCGCCGTGTCTGTGTCTCTCAGACAGACCATGACTGCAATTGAAATCAGCACTGTTGGGGAAAATGAAAAGATGAACACACGCTTTCTTGAACGACTTGAGCCATCCTGTTCCTCTCAGGCAACACTCTTCAGGAACATTCAGAGCAATCTCGAGCCTCTTCCGTTGCTCGATCAACATGGCACCTGTCACAGCGCGATTCTTTTGTTCCATATCAAGTGCCCAGAGACCAAGGCCCCGATCAACTTTGGGTGAAGTGACAACGCGCTCACGCTTGAGCAAAAGTGCAGCAGAGTTTTCAGCAGCAAGCTTTAGAAGGGCAGCCTTCTTCTCCGGATTGAGGTGTTTTGAAAGTGCGCCCTGGGTGAAGAATAGCTTCCCTCCCTTGGCATTAGACCTCGAGGCAAAGAATTCTATGACAGCTTTCTGCTTTGTCCCCGGATTTTTCTCGGCATACTGGATAACCTGCAGCCAGTCATAATTTGTGAGATTTTTGCGCCCTTCCTGCCCCAGAATAGCAGACGAGCGATGGGTTCCGTTAAGCTTTGGGCCAGGCTTCACGCGGGTAGCAGCGTTAGCACGTGCCTCAGTGGGATCATGGTCCCAAGCGCGGACAACATGAGATTTTGCAGTAGGCTCAACAGGCATAATGGATGGTATGGATGAGGGAGAACCAAAATTCAGGGCTCATGCATTATATTCTCACTTACAGGACTCATTGTTCGCCCAAAAAGCCATTCCAACCTGTCAGAGAACACCTGCCATCACCCCTAATAAGGAATATCCCTGCGACAGAAATCACCTGGCCATATTCTTTATTCCGGACAACAAACAATGGAATATTACTGCCTTCCCAACATGGGAAGGCTGATTTTCTATTCTTTATCATGGATATTCCACATCACATTATTCCTTATTAACAACTCTACTGTACTACAGTTTTGTATTCTCTGATCCTAGAATAAACTTTTCTTCTCAACTCTTATTTTGGGTTGTTTGTCACACTGATCTTTTCAATCATGATGCTGAAGTTATTGATTGAAAATTGTGTGCTATTTCACAGATTACATTTCCCTGTTCTTTGTTAACTGTGGCTGGCCTGGAACACGCTAGCAAAATATCAATCACCCAATATTTTGCAATAGAAATATATGGACTGACCTCTAAGCGGAACTTGCAAAGCATGAACTGTCCATCCTCTGGACTCTTGTCCATATAGGCATCAGTAACAAGATACTTGCCATCATAACAATATCTGTGTTTTGTGTTATCTTTAACTACCTGAATGGGAAGAGAGAAAGATAGTAGACACACCCATCTTCTGGTGCCCAGAGACTGTTCCTGTTCTTGCCACGGATGACATGGACTGGAGTTTGTCTATACATTGCACTCTAGATCATTGGTTAGTATTTTTGCAGTAAGCATTTGATGTATGCAGATTCTGACCCTAAGCCATTTGTTATGGGGGTGGCTGAATTTTTGATCTTCAACCTGTGGACCATCCTGTGTGCTTTGTGAGCATCAGAACACTCAAATTTACCAGATTGTAAGCTGTGCCAAAAGGAATGGGATTTTGAACAGTCAGACTCACTCCAAAACGAGTATTCTCCTTGCCACCTAAAAGTCTATTAGCAGCCAAGCAAGGGGTATTGAGGAGAGTTTTTGATACCAGTGCCAGTATAAATCCTATAAAAAATGAAAGCGGTAGTCAGTTAATCAATATTATTAAAGGGAATGTCAAGAGAAAAGCAGAGGAAAGCAAGGATGTTTACTGCAATTAGATCCAGCTGCCAGCTCTGGATGCATCTGGTAAACATAATCTGGAATAATATCTTTGTCATCTCATGAATCAGAGTTCAGTTGAACTTGAAGCAAAGACAGCACTTAGAATCATCCACCCCAAAATATTCACTGTTCCAGTCTAAAGGTGGAGAAACAGAAAACAGGAGCATTGTCAAATACCAATTCTGAGATTTCAGAATTGATGTTGCTCAATGTATGTGTCAGACACAGGTGCTGCTATTATCCATGATGACAACAAGAGAAGTTCATCAATTAACAACTGGGACATGTTATGTGCCTCAGTCATCAACTCTCAGCAGAGAGCCAAAATATGAAGAAATGTATGAAACAGGAACAAGGTGATAGATGGGCAACAGTGGGTGCTTCATCATTTGAGGCATTCCCAATAAGGCAGCATAAAGCAAGAGAAAATGTGCAGTGAAATTGAAGAAAAAATGAAGAGAAGGAAACTGGAAATCAGAGTGCTTACAGAATGTCACCATGATCCTCATCAGGATATCCGCCAGATGCCACAATAGAGACGGCCCGGCCACCCCGCCCATATATCCCAGCAGTATTGGCCTTATGGAAGGAATGTGCACGAAGTTGAGCTCTTTGTTGTTAAACTTCTGTGAGTGAAAAATACAACCAAGAGAAGAAGTAGAGACATACCTTGTAGCCCAGGTTGTGCCAACTGGAACGTAAATTGCAGAGTTGTTGCTGCCTGTGGCATTGTTGGTCATGATGTAACGCGGTGAAATGCTGAGGGCGTGCTCACAAGTGAATCTACTATGAAAGTAAACCCAAATATAAAACACGTTCACACTCCTCGTAATCAGCTTCTCAGTGTGTGAAAGATGCGAGGGCTTCGGGATGGACAGAGCACCAGTATCACAACTCTCAATAGACGCAGATCCAATAGTCGCGGAGACGAAGTCGACGACAAGAATTTATATATAGCAAACAATGGTATCTCAACCAATATCTTCTATACGAACACAACCAACACTAATCCAATCCACAAACAACAATATAACAAGTCAGAACTTAATACGAAGTATTAAGATCCCTTGTAGCGACAGCGTCCAGATGGTGACGCAAAGCCCAAATATCAAGTCGACGCACTGCCAACTGATACAACCAATATACTGAGTCGACGCACTGCCAACTAGTAAACCAAAATGTCAAGTCGACGCACTGCCAACTGACACAACCAAAAGTACTGAGTCGACGCACTGCCAACTAGTAGAACCAAGATGCCGCGTCGACGCACTGCCAACTAACAGCCAATATCCAATGTCCAAAACCCGAGCACAACTTGTCGACGCACTGCCAAGCAAGAAGTGTGGAACCAAAGTTCTCAAGTCGACGCACTGCCAACTGACCAAAACAACCCGAGCACAACTAGTCGACGCACTGCCAAACTAGAGGTGTGGAACGATCTCAACAAAGCCCAAAGGCGACGACACTAAATGCCGCGACTAAACCAGATGCGGCGAATCCGACTTTCTGATGTCTCAACTCAAACTCAAATCACAGTAGCTACAAGTGCTCAGGGAGCAACTCGTCGCGACCGGGCAGGGGTAGCAGAACTTCTTAGGGTGGAATCACGCGGCACGCAAATTGTACGAAACAATCTGAAATGAGAGTGATTCACAGTCCAGGGGGAAGCCTTTTTAATACAAAGAGACGACGTGCTACTTATACTGTCTACGACGCTGCTTAGTAAAGTCCTGTACAACTGCATAGTAGCTACGCTATCTAAGATCGGTTGCCTTTTAGGGTAATTGAAAAGTTGAACGATCGGACAGGTCCTGAGTGATCAGGACCCCGCCCCATCGTCCATATGATACTTTTGATGTGGGCCAACTCACCGCGTCATACTTTTGGAATACGACGTGCTGGATTGGCCAACGGGTATGTCTTGGCATGTGAGACCAACGTGGGCGCCCCAAGAAGCCGTATGGCCCTAGGCACGCCAGTCGTCCCCCACATGGTTCGGTTCACGGATCTAACCGTGTCGGTTTCTAGTGTGTTTGGGTATGAGCGCGACTCGCCGTGACACTTGGAAGTGTCACCGCGACGCGTCCACAATGTCCCGTGATCGAATGGATCCTGACATGTGACAAGTCGTCGTCGTGGCTCGATCTGAGGAAACGTCCAACTCAAAACCGGGAGTTGCCGCGACAAGATGGTTTAAGTCTCGTAACGCCAAGTCCTGTCCAGTAGTAGTTCTATTATTGAGAACGTCGCGCATTGCTCAGCCCTTCAGCCCAAGTTCCCATCTGCAGAGAATGACCCTTTTTGAGAAGTCGACGCAACGACATATCCCTTTTTGGGGAATGGTCGCGGTCCAAGCGTTCGTCACTAATGGCCCTGAGCCTGGTGTAGACTCATAAGACCAGTTCCACAGTAGTGGTCTGACTGCCTTGCTATCGTCGACACTATCCACAGTCGTCGACTGGGCAGTAGACCCATAAGTCCTACTGAGCGCAACACTGTCACCCGCGACACGATACACCGAATGGTTCAAGAGTAAACTCTGTAAAAAGCGCAAAAATACGCCCTTACAGAGCTGGTGCAGAGCGCGTCTGGTAGCCAGCCTATCATCTCCCAGGAACACTAATTTTGACCTCCTGGTCAATCCCGCGACAGTCTCACTGCGCCAGGTCTAAGTCCAACAGTCGACGTCTCATTCATTTATTATTAAAGCCGCGGAGACATAGAGTTATGTTCCCACGTCTTATTCATTTGGTTGTTCGGTTCCTTCCGTGATCTGCCGCGATCAAACTTCTTCCGGCATGTTCACCATATAAATGCCCTTAATTTTCAGGGTCGAGAGTCTCCCTAGTACGAGACACTCTTGCTTTTCGACCACCATGTCCGCGCCCGACCAGAGCCCTCGCCCCCAAGACAACAACCGTGAGTGACGCCCAGGACGATTACCGCGACTTTTCAACCACGCTAACCGTCCATCAGCCGTCACCGAATCAGCTGTCCCGGGAGCAAACCCGCCTGCCATCGACTGGCGGCAGTTCATGCCGTTAGTCAATGTCTCTCTCATGGCTTGTCGATCCAACTCACCACCTGCCTAGCCCTGAGGCCTACAACATGATGTTGCGGCAGATGGCCGTCGACGTCCGCCAGATCCAGCAGGTGAGCCCCGTTCTAAGCCCGCTGGAGCGAGCAGTCACGGCGATCAATGATTGCCGCGCCTGTTCGCTTTGGCCTTCCTTCTTTTCACTCACGTAAGGACTAGCCGGCGTCTACGCCCTTGACCACCAACGCTCCAGTCGAGGAGTCGTCGCCGCCCAAGAAACGCAAACGAGTCGTCGAACCCGTACGTGTAATCTGTTTCATTCGTTTCACTATGTTCTGATCGACTCCCAGGCGGCTTCAACCGAGCAAGTCGCCGCCCCTTCGTCGTCCCGGCCTGTCAAGCAGAAGGGGAAGGGTGACGGCTCCAAGCCGCAGGCCCCTGCCGCCGTCGCGGGCAGCAAGGTCGCCGTCGCCAAGAAGTCGAGCGAGAAGTCGCAGGGGAAGCGACCCAAGGCGACTCCTGTAAAGGAGCCCAAGGCGTCGTCCCACGCGCCTACTCGTAAGTGGCTCTTTCTTTTCATTCACCAGAGTCGCGGGTACTGACTTGTCGTAGCCGCTACCTCGGTCCCTGTTCCACAGGGGTCACCTCCCAAGCGCGTCCACAAGAAGACGCACGTAGGTGTGTGATCCTATGTCTTATTCATTGATCTTTAGACTAACCATTTGGTCCCTCCCAGCCCGCATCCAAGCACAGCCCGTGCAGCCCGAGTCCCTCAGCGATGAGGAAGCCGCCGCCGTCGCCGACACTGCGATGGATGTCGACGACGAGGGGGCCCAGGAGGGAGACGCGTCATCGGCCGACGAGCTGGCCCTTCAGGTAAGTGACCCAGTTCGTCGATCGCGATTCTTCGTCTCATGGTTGGTTTGTTTTTGACAGGGGCCCAAGTCCAAGGGGAAAGCGCGATCGAATTTGAGTGCGTTCTTCCTCTTGCCCCCCTCTGCCGTTTGCTCATACTTTCGTAGCCCCATCCGTCATCGTCATGGACGACACCTCCGAGAGCGGAGAGGAGACCGGCGACTTCGTCGTGACCAAGAAGCAGGTCAGCGAGACCCGCGTCAAGCCCAAGGTAAGCCGGCTCCTTTTTCCCAGACCACGCCCCTTAATCCAGCTTTTTAGCCAATCAAGAAGGTCGCGGACGGATCGTCCAAGTCGACCAAGTCCGTGCCTCCCCAACCGGTGCCAAAGGTGGAGGCCAGTCGCAAGGCGAGCGCCCCGCGAGCGACGACTACCCCGACCCCAGTGGCTAAGGTGAGACACTAATCTTGGGTTCCAGACGTCGACTAACTCAATTTTTTTTTCTTTTCTAGGTTGCCCAGGCGGCTCCCGCCGCTACCAAGACTCCACGCAGTGAGTTGGGCAGGGTGGCCGCGACCCTTGGTCGCGAGCGGAGTGTCGCTGCGGCCAAGGCCGAGCTCAAGGCTCAGAAGGCAGAAAAGTCCGTTGCGGCGGCCAAGAAGAAATCTGACTCGGTGAGTCGCGACTTTTTCTTGTCGTCGACTTTTTACTGACTTGACTGTTTCTAGACTCCTGTGAAGGCGTCGGCCCCCACGCCCCGAGCTCCGTTCACTCCCGCCGCCTACGACACCGAGGCGCTCCTTTCGGTGGCACGTCAAGGGTTCGCGGGGAAGTTGGAGAGGGCCGGCGTCGAGGTGCCAACCGACTTCGTACGTTTCTTTATCTTTTTCTGCCATGCCTCGACGGCTGACTCCCTTTTTCATAGGAGGTCGCGCCAAGGCCCTGCGCGATGTGCGTGACGCGGCAGCGCGTCTGCTTCAAGAGCGTCGACGGGCGCCACGGCAATCGGTGCGCCCCGTGCGTGCTCTATAAACAGACTTGCACCAACGGCTACAAGCCCGCGGAGCAGCTGTATATGGGGCAACGCTTCGGGTACATCGCGCAGATGAGCGCGGACGGTAAGAGTCCACTCTTATCATTCATTTCTATTTTTGATCGTTTCTGACGACGTCTTCAGATCTCAACAAGTCCGCCAACCGTCTCGCCGACACCTTGGACGCGTACGGCGGGCTTCTTCGCACGGCCAACGAGATCCGCGTCCTGGCCATTGGCCAGTTCCGTGATTTCGTTGGTCAGCTGAAGGAGCACTTCGACGACGGCTCGGACGAACGCATCAAGGCGATGTTCGTCCACACCGCGACCGAGATCGACGCCGCCGAGATGGCCGACATCCGCAAGGGTGTTCGGATGATCTTGGCCCACGGGGACTTGTTGGATGGCGAGGCGAACGAGCGGTTCGCGGCACCCCCTGCCTTCTTCGATCCCTTTTTCTATCGCGAGATGGAAAAGATGGAGAAGCAGTTCCAGAGGGAGATCGAGAAGGCCCAGGAATTCGACAAGTCGGACCCCGCGACCGTCCAGGATCAAGCGTTCCAACCTGGCGAGGACCACGAGATCGACGTCGCGCACTTGGCGAGTAGTCGTACCCGTGCGCCTTCCTCGTCGCCCCAGCCTTCGCCATCGCCGCCTCCTGTTGCGTCGTCGTCCCAAGCCGTTTTACAGGTCTTGGCCTTTTCCGACAACTACAGCGAGACCTCGGCCGAGTCCACCAAGGCCGCTTCGGATGAAGACGCGGAGGGTGAAGAAGACGGGTCTGCCGGCAACGAGAACGCCGACGACGGGAAAGTCGACGACGAGAACGTCGACGACGAGAACGTCGAGGACGAGGGC